CCAAGGGCCCAACTACTAGGGCTATGGCTAAGAGGATACCAAATTACATCCAAATGAGAGTGCACATGGGAAGGTGACCGATTGGCACCAAAATTTGAATATTTGAATTCAAATTTTGGCGCCTAAGGTTAGTTAAACCATACCATGGTTTAACTTAACCTTAGGTTAAACCAAACGTGCACCTTACCCTAGTTTTCCCTATAAATTCATATTGGCTGAGAGTTGTAGCACTTTTGGATCATTATATGAGAATTATACTTCTTGCTAATTCTCTCTCCGAAAGTCTCCTTGAATCCTAGCTTCTACCCTACTTGAGATCTTCTCCTTGTAGAGTTAGGATCCCTCACCTTCTATCCGAGATAGTTGGGTGAACCTAGGCTACCTTGCTCCTTCTTTCAAGTTTCAATTCCTTGCATCAATCCAAGGATCCGAGAAGGAGTTGATTGGAAGCATTCCTTGAAGTTCTTCTCCAAGAAGAACCTCATCAGTTTTCCTAGAACCCAAAGAGGAAAGGATTCCATCTTTGTGGTAGTGGACCGTTTTAGTAAAATGGCACACTTTATTCCATGCCACAAAGTGGATGATGTAAGAAACATTGCTAAATTATTCTTTCAAGAAATAGTGAGACTTCATGGGTTACCTAAGACTATAGTCTCCGATAGAGATGTTAAGTTCCTTAGCCACTTTTGGAAAACTTTGTGGGCAAGGCTAGGAACTAAACTTCTATTTTCTACCACATGTCACCCACAAACTAATGGCCAAACTGAGGTAGTCAATAGTTCTCTTGTGACTATGTTGAGGGCAATCCTCAAGGGCAATAAGAAGTCATGGGATGACTATCTCCCTCATGTGGAGTTTGCCTACAATAGGGTGGTTCATAAAACCACCAAGATGTCTCCTTTTGAGATTGTTTATGGTTTCAATCCTTTAACCCCTTTAGACTTATTACCCCTACCAAATGTTGCTTCTTTTTATCCATAAAGAAGGAACATCTAGGGCTGAATTTGTTAAAAACTTACATGAGAGGGTTAGAAATCATATCCAATCCTAAACTGAAAAATACACAAAATATAATAACAAGGGTAGGAAGGAAGTTTTCTTCAATAAAGGTGACTGGGTTTGGCTCCACCTTAGGAAGGATAGATTTCCTTCCAAAAAAAAGTCTAAACTTAGTCCTAGAGGAGATATACCCTTTCAAGTCCTCAAAAGAATAAACAATAATGCCTATGTCTTAGATCTTCCCTCTGAGTATGGGGTTAGTCCTAGTTTCAATATATCTGACT